AGCTCTTTGTTCCTTTATCTTTTGAATTATTTTTTTAGTCTCTATGTTATTTATTTTCACTCTGACCTTTACTATTTCTTTCCTTCTACTTGCTCTTGGTTTTTCTTTGTTTTCTCTCTAGTTCTTTAAATTGTAGTGTTAGATAGTCTATTAGAAATTTTTCTTGTTTCTTGAGGTAGGCCTACAGTGCTATGAACTTCCCTCTAGGATTGCTTTCACTGTGTCCCATCGATTTTGTGTTTTTGTGTGTTCATTTTCATTGGTTTCCAGGAATTTTTCAATTTCTTCCTTGATCTCCTTGATAACCCAAACATGTTATTTAACCTCCATGTGTGTTAATGTTTTTGAGAGGTTTTATTGTCATTGATTTCTAGTTTTATGCCATTGTGATCTGAGAAGATGCTTGATATGATTTCAATATACTTGAACTTGTTGAGACTTAGTTTGTGTCCTAACATGTGGTCTGTCTTTGAGAATGCCCCATGTGCACTTGAGAAGAATGTGAATTCTGTAGTTTTGGGGTGTAATTCTCTGTAGATATCTATTAAATCTATTTGATCTAGTGCATCATTTAGAGTCTCTGTTTCCTTGCTAATTTTTTGTCCAGAGGATCTATTCAGTGATGTCAGTGGGGTGTTGAAGTCCCTTGCTATGATTGTATTGCTGTCAATTTCTCCTTTGAAGTCCTCCAGAAGTTTTTAAATGTATTTTGGTGCTCCTATACTGGGTGCATATATGTTTATCAAGGTTATATCTTCCTGTTCGATAGATCCTTTCAATATTATGCAGTGGCTTTCTTTGTCTCTTGGTATGGCCTTCATTTTGAAATCTATTTTATCAGATATGAGTATCGCTATCCTAGCTTTTTCTTCCTTTCCATTTGCTTGTAAAATGTTTTTCCATCCCTTCACTTTAAACCTGTGTGTGTCTTTTGTTGTGAGGCAGGTCTCTTATAAACAGCATATATATGAGTCATACTTTCTTATCCATTCAGCTACTCGGTGTCTTTTGATTGGAGCATTTAATCCATTTACATTTAAGGTGATTATTGATATGTACTTATTTATTGCCATTTTTATTTATTATGGCTATTTTCCACTATATGTCTTCTGCTTATTACAGCAGTCCTTTTACTATTTCTTGCAGTGCTGGTTTGGTGCTAATATAGTCCCTTAGCCTTTTAATTTTTTATTTTTTTTCCTCTGTCTGGGAAGCTCTTTATTTCACCTTCTAGTTTGAATGATACCCTTGCTGGATAAAGTAGTCTTGGATTCAAATCCTTGTTTTTCATTACCTTGAATACTTCATGTCATTCCCTTTTAGATGGTAGTGTTTCTGTTGAGAAATCAGCTAATAGCTTTATGGGGGCTCCTTTGTAGGTAACCTGTTGCTTTTTTCTTGCTGCCTTTAAGATTCTCTCTTTTCTTTACTTTTTGGCATTTTAATTATGATGTGTCTTGGTGTGGGCTTCTTGTAGCTTTTCTTACTGGGGGCTCTCTGTGCTTCCTGAACATGTATACTTTTTCCTTCACCAAGTTAGGGAAAGTTTCTGCCCCGTTTCTTCAAATATATTCTCTAACCCATGCTCACTTTCTTTTTCTTCTGGTACTCCTATGATGTGGATGTTGTTACATTTCATATCGTCCCACAGCTCTCTTAAACTGTCCTGATTTTTAATCTTAGGGGGTTTTTTTTGTTGTTGTTGTTTTTTGTTGTTGTTGTTCTCTGATTTTTTTCCTGCCTTGTCTTTTTTTATCCTCACTCAAGGACATTTTTTCATTTCTTGTTCAGATCAAGTAGAAGAGAGAGAGGAAAAGAGAGAGAGCAAGAAACATTGATGTGAAAGGGACACATTGAGTGGCTGTCACCCACACAACCCAACCAGGATCGGGGACAAACTGCAACCGAAGTATGCGCCCTTAGTTGAAACTGAACCCGGGTCTCTCTGGACTGCAGGCCAATGCTCTAACCGCTGAGCCAAACCAGCCAGGGCTCTATCCTGTCTTTTTATTAGCTGATCCAATATTCGGCTTCCTCTAATTGTCTATTCCTTCCAAAGTGTTCTTTATTTCTGCTACATCATTTCTCATTTCCACTTGGTGGTTTTTCATTTCCAACTACTTGATTTTCATTGTTTCTATAGCTTCCTTCATGCTGTTGAGCTCTTTACTCATGCTGTTGAACTTCCTCATAATCATTACTTTGAACACTACCTCTGATCACTTGCTTAACTCCATTTCATTTAGCCCTTCTTCTGTATAATTCCATTATGCTTTCATTTGGGATTTGTTTCTTTGTTTCACCATTCTGGCTGTCTCAGCAATGTCTGAAGCCTGCCAAATTTTCTGTTAGAGTTGAGGTCCTGCTGATGGTGGCTTCCTCTGCTGGGTTTGGATGAGTATGGAAGGGACCACACTGAACACCAATGTCTAGTCTTACTTTCTTGGGTAGAATCACAAGCCAAGCAAAGATTCAATTATCCCAGAGCTTTTGCTTGTAGGCTATTAGTCTCAGTTACTTAATGAGCCTCTGGTTGTAGCTCTCAGCTGAAGGAAAAATCCCTCAGGTGGGCAAGGTAAGAGGATTTCCAGCAGGTGGGGCAATTGCTTTCCCCTATGCTAAAGTTACTTTGAGAACAAAATGGTTTCTGCAGTGTGGGTTAATAGTTCAGTGCAGGGACCCAGGCCTCAGCCTTCACAGCTCAGTTCCCAGAGCCATGACACCCAACATTGAGATTCAGGCCCAAGGCTCAAAGCCTTCAGAAGCTCTTCTCTGCCTACTGGCTGGCAGGTAGTCTCTGGCTGTTAATGAGCCTCAGGTTGCACTTCTACAGGCTAGGAGCTGTCAAATTCCCAAGGGAGAAGCAGTTGCTTCTCCCCTAGGCTAAAGCTATTCTGATGTGAAGGGACTTCTTGAGGAAGGTGGCTACTGCCATGCAGGGGACTGATTCAGCACAGAGTTCCTGATGCCTTCTTCCCAGCTCTCTCCCCAGTGCCACAAACCCCCGACTCTCCTCACAGTCCAGTCTAGTCCACCCTCTCTCTGCTGGAACCCAAGGTAACTGTATCTGTAATTTAGTGTACTGGTCCTTCAGAGCTGTTGGTGTTCTTTGCACCTCTCCCTGCTGAACAGAACCTTTGCTCTGGTGATTTTCTCAGCCAGGTGTTATGTGGGCACCTTTCCCTGTTCTGCCACTCTGTGCTGGGGAGCTTGCTTGGGGTTTAAACCCCCGACTTCTCAGAGGGAACTTCCTCAGCTAAGATAGCCCTCAGTTGCTGCCTGTGGGGACCCAGCCAGACCTCTCGCACCTCCACACCTCCTGCCAGTCTTGATTTAGGGTCCTCTTTACATTTCTGGTTATAAGGATTCTCTCTAGCTGCTCTTCAGTTGGTTTTACCAGATGACTTGCCTTTATTTTAGTTGTAATTCCAAATTTGGTCCTGAGAGACAGTCTGTGTAGCTTTCATTCACTCTGTTGCAATTCTCACTCCCGGCATGGTGATGTTTTATGATGTCTCCATAAGTACATCACACTTAAAAGAAAAGTAATATTAAGAGGGGGATTAAAAAAAAAAAAAAAAAAGACAACATATATTTTAAAAGATAAGCAATAGGAGAGGAGACTGGAAAGCAAACTCTACTTTGGAGAGCAAATTGAGTAAAAAGTAGCCTTATTCTTTGCATTCCAAGGTTTGAGGATTTATCTGAAACACCAAAATTTCCCATTACTTTATATATTTGCAAAGTAAGATGATCCTCAAACCAGTACGAATACTTTTATCCATTTAAATAAGCAAAATCTTAGTCAATTGTTGGAGGCATTCTGCTACAAAAGAACTAGGGCAGCCCTGACTGGTGTGGTTCAGTGGTTAGAGTGTTGTCCCACCCACTAAAGGGTCATAGATTTGATTCCTGGTCAAAGGAAGGTTGCAGGTTCAATCCCCAGTCCTAGTCAGGGTGCATGCGGAAAGCAACTAATAGATGTGTCTTGCTCACATTGATGTTTCTCTCTCTCTGTCTCTCCCTTCCTTCTCTCTGTTCTCCCTCCCTCCCTTCCACTCTGTCTAAAAATCAATAGAAAAAATATCCTCAGTGAGGATTAACAAAACAAACAAAAAAAGAGAACTTGGGCAGATGTTGAAACATCAAAACAAAGAGCAGAGCATGCCCATTAGTACTCTAATGTTTGGGGTAGTTGCTCTCAGAGCCTTCCAGATTCTCCATAATCCAAGTGTACCACTATTTATAAGAGCATAAAGTAAGCAAAAGAAATGGACAAAGCACCCTCCTATAGGCTAGTTCAAAAGCCCAAATCTCACTTCTTAGTTTATCATAAAAATAAGTGACTAATATGAGAGCAGTGGCCAAGGCAATGTTAAGCATTTGAGAATACTTAAATAAATGCACCCCCCCCCAAAGAAAGACCATGTACAATATTTTAAAAAACCAAAATACTGCATTTATTTGCATTTCAAAAGAACAAGGAAGCTGGGGGAAATATATTTACAAAGAAGGTAGTCTCATTTTGCTTAATCCATTTGTGCTTTTCATAAAACAACAAAGATTTGACTTAGAATCACATGTGTAAAGGGAATGAAATAATTTACCTGTTCAGTTCTCCATCTCTGGCCATGACTGAAATTAATACCACTGCAATCAAACGAAAACCTACTCTGCTTATAGGTAAATACCAACTAATATATATGTTATAAAAGAACCAGCTTTTGTAAAATCCATCACAGTATCCAACAAACACACACTAAAAGACACATACATCATAACAGGACATTTAAGAATCTTTGTGCAACAATGAAAAACAATTTATACAGGATATACCATAATTGGCCATTAAGTCAACAGCATCACAGTAACAGTACCCAGTGTCTTTCTTATTCAAGTATATACACTATTTCTAAGACTTGGTTATAACAAAGACAATAGTAACTAGGATGTACACACAATTATTTCATAAACACCATTTAAAAATGACAAAAATATCCTTAAATTTTCTAATAATTATAAACATGTTAACAGTATAACTGTGCATTTCATAATGTTTAACTAATTTACACACTTTTAAAAAGCATTGAATTTTAGAGAAATACTGATAATGGCTAAACATTTTTTGAAATCAGGTCATATTTATATTTCAGTAGTCTGTATTTTCCGCTCTTCTTTCTTCCACCACCATACTCTATAACCACCCATTTACTCAAAACAACATCAGAGCTCTCCACCGGCTATGCAAGTATTACATCCGAAAACTTCGAGTTCTTTGAAATGGTTGAAAAGGGTTTTTTAGTGCCCACATTAGCAACTGTGGTTTAGGTTTTGGTTTTTCAGGAAATAGAAGTGCTTCACTTTCTGGGGTAGGAAATCGTTCTTGGTAGACTTCAGGATAGGATTTTTGAAACTAAAAAAAAAAGATCCACAGTGAGTCCAAAAAACAGGTAAGAGCCAATAAAATTGGTCAATCTAATTTAAAATAAGAGTTTATGACCCCCATACTTTTTTCCTGTGTTTGTTTTATTGTTTATTATTTTCCATCAGAGAACAAAGACGAAAACAGATCACAGTCAAATTTACTTCAACACACATCTATTTCTTTGTTAAATCATCTGATTACACTTTCTGAATATCTAATCTTTAATTTGATCCAATCTTCAAATAAACTTCTCATTTAAATCACATTTCTTCAAATTTCCCCCATTGTCAACTGTAAATAAACTTTACTTTAAAAATATTCACAAGTAACTCTGACTTGAACATGTTCTTAAACAAAGAAAATGTTGGTCCAACTACATTTCACTATTTCCCTGCATCTCCAATTCGACCCCACCTGCTTCTGCCAAATAGAAAGCATTCTAGTGTGTGTTATTTTATGAAAAGCTTAAAGGGAGGCAATAAGTTTTTCCTTTTTCCTTACCACTGAACTCTTCTCCAAAATTACTGAGAAAAATATGACTGGGAATCTAGAACTCTGGTGCTGTCCATAATCCTACATGTATGTTGTGATCAGGAATCAAGCTATGCAGGATTCAGTCTTTAAAAATAAAAACCATTCAGCCCTGGCCGGTTTGGCTCAGCGGTTGGAGCGCCGGCCTGCGGTACAGAGAGACCCGGGTTCGGTTCCAGCTAAGGGCACGTGCCTCGGTTGCAGTTTGTCCCCGGCCCTGGTTGGTCGTGCGGGTGGCAGCCACTCGATGTGTCCCTTCACATCGATGTTTCTCTCTCTCTCTCTTCCTCTCTCTCCCTCCCGGTCTATCTGAACAAAAAATGGAAAAATGTCCTGGGGTGAGGATAAATAAATAAATAAATAAATAAATAAAAAATAAAAACCATTCATTTAACCTTGGATCAATATTTTAAGAATGGGTTAAACCTATTTTGAGTTGAAAACTATTGTCTGAAACCCTACGCCATGTTGTCTAACAGGAACTAAAATCTTAGTGATGCCTGAGACAAGAAACCAATTTGATACGGGCTATCTAAAATCAAAGGCTTTTAATTTCTAGACATTTTATATTTGCAAATTCAGTCTGATTTGCCTTTCAAAGAAATCTATCCTCATTTAATAGCTTCTCTAAATTTAAGGTAACTGCTCCAGTAACTCATGTCATATGGCACATATCAAAATAAAAGACAGATATTAGAGAATAAGTGAGGAGTTCAATAATGGTAAAAGATCTGTATTGGAGAATAAAGATGCGGGAAATTGACCACAACCGTGTAAATCAGTAAGACTTCTGCAATACACGAACTAAACAATATACTTTCAAAACTGCTATCGCAGAAGATGAGATTCATATAAACCTATTAAAATAAAGAATAAAAAATATATAAGAGCAGTTGGGAGAAAAAGAAATGACTCATAAGAACATCCTTTTTACCTGCTTCAATTTTTTCTTCTTCTCTTTGCGGGAGAGTTTGGTATCTGTTATGACTTCTTCCAACAAAGCTGCCAGAGGTTCCTGAGAGCCATATGCTCGTTGGTATTCAAATTCCTCTGGGCTAATCTGACGACAAAATGATGGGGCAGATAAAGTAATATCCATGTCAGCTCCTGGGTATTTTATCTGAAACAAAAGGATTGGAGAAAGACAAAAGTGTATTTTCAAGTAAATTACAAAAATTTGTTCAGATCAAACACAGTACATCTCCTCCTAGGAATGCCATGCCATTCTTCAATTTAATTGGGGAAAATTCTGTATTAAAAATTAGTGTTTCAAGAACTTCAAAATAAAAAAAATCACTTAAAGCCACAGTTTTAAATGAGATTTTTTTACCTTTCTAAACCCAAGAGCCATTTTAATAAACAAAATGCCCTTTTAATTAAGGTCTGAAATTGAAACATAAACTGAATACGTTGACTATAAAACAATTCAAAACAAAAAATGATGCTGGACACACATAGTGAATTACCCAGATTCCTTCCCCTATCTGAAGAGTCTGGTCCTCCCTCCCTTGGGGATGGACAGAGGCACACCTTTAGCTCAGTTGTCATGTAGAGAAAAGGCCTACAACCATCTCCAAACATGAATAATGAGAATCAAGTGAAAACAATGCATGTGCAGACACTGCACAGGGCAAAGGGAGAGATAAAAAGAAAGATGATACCCAGACCTGTGAATAATGAGCATCCATTAAAAATATTTAACTTTCGAGTCTAAGAGGGTCATCTTCTCAAAAATATACCATTTATAGTTCTTCTGCAGTGGATAAAATTGCTACTATTACATTCACTTCTTTGGCTTTAGCCTTTTTTTTCCAGAAGCCACAGTTAAAAATAAGTGTTGCCAAGAAGAGTTATTACGTTAAGTATACATTCCATGCCTCAATATCAGTTTCCCAGACTAGATTGAGACAACCTGAGAGAGAGAGAGACCAGAACCATAAGGGAAAGGGGTATACATAGGATACTTCCTTGTTTATTTGAAGCAAGGCCAGAAAAGCAGGAAAGGGCCAGAATAAAGGGTGTCCTAGGTAACAGGTGACAGACAGCCTAGGATGTGAGAAAAACACCAGATACCTATGATTAAAGGGCCAAGAGGAAGACAGGTGCAAACAAGGTTGATTGAAGGTTAGTGTGAAAAACAATGCCTACCCCACAACTGCTCTATCTCAGGGCCAGTTCCAAACAGCCCAGAACAATTCACCAGAAGAGCCCAGGAAACTGTTCATTTTAAATGTGTTATGATGTAGGTGCTAAGTAGTCTATGTGAGAGAACAGAGATCTATAGGAGCTAAGTGCTAAAACAAACAGCTCTTCGGCAATTCTACTGACTAATTCTAAGAAAGAAAATGTAATTAGAAAGTTGAGTAGTTACTGATTGTATTCAGTGCCATCACAGTTAATCATCACAGATCAGCTGTCTGATCTTCAACTTACAGCAAAGGGCTCACAGGTATAGGTTGCTGCAATACATGCCTGTGCTAGGTGAAAATACAAACCTAGCAGTATACAGAGCAACACAGTTCTTGCAATCACTTTCCTTGCAGAAATACAGTAAAGTATTTCTTTTCTTTCTTTCTTCTTTTTTTAATTTGGCTCAGAAAAATATTGAATGGAGGTAGGGAAATTAAACTAAAACAGCAGTAAGATTACACTTTTCACCTATGAATGTCAAAGGTATGTATTTTAATGATAACACCCAAAGTAGGCAAGGGTGCAAAGAAATGAACACTGTCTTATACCACTAACGGGAATAAAAATTGGATTCTAAAGGAAAATTTGGCAATATGCAACCAACGCTTAAAATACATTCATGGCCTTTGACCATGCAAAGGTGCTGCTAGGAATTTATTCTTAGAAAATAATCATAGATCAACCAAAAAAAAATCTAGCTATAAAAATATTTATTGTTATATTGCTCAAGGCCAAAAAAAAGTAGAAACAATCTAAATATCAACCAAAGTAAATCATTTAAATAAATTATGGTATAACCATATTGTGGAATACTGTGTTCCCAATAATAATGACATTGTGGAATAATGTAACAATAGTGATGATAAAGCTACCAACTGAGAGCTTACTATGTGATATACATTATTCTAAGCACTTAACATTTTAAGCCATTCAATCCTCAAAACAACCTTAGGAAGTAGATATTACTATTATTATCTCATTTTACAGATGAAGAAAGAGAGATGTTGGGGCAGATGCTGAAGCAAAGACATGTTACCTAACATGCCCAAGGTCACACAGCTAATTAAGGCACGCCAGGAATTCAAACACTATTTAGCTCCAGAGTTTGTGCTGTTAGCCACTCTAATGTCAATCAAGAATATTTAATGATGTGGGAAAGTTTTCTTCTTGTATTGTTAAGAGAAAGTAAGTTATGAAAGAGGAAAGGGAAGGAAGAGAATAGAGAAGAAAGGGAGGGAGGAGAAAGAAGGAAAGATAACAGAAAAATACCTGAAAGACTGTAATACTGACAGAACATTTGGTGTTACTGGTATCTTTTTGGTGTGTATTTTCTATATTTTCCAAATTCCTTTGATGTATTAGGTCATAATAATTATCAAAATAAAAGATATTTTTATTTTAACTTTAAATTGCTCACTGGAAACAGCTAAACAGTTATTTACTTTAATAATACATTGCAAGGTAGCAGTTCACTGGGCCTTAATTGAAGAACCTCAAAAAGTGTTTATATGAAAAAGAGGTCCAATCATTCAGAAGGAACCAAGCAGAATTTCTGCCAAAAGACTTCTTACCAAAAGTTTCTGTTCCCACAGACTGACATACAAACCCCACTTGGAGGTCCACATAATATTACTTTTATTTTTGCATCATTTTAACATAACAATAATAACACTCCCTTTCAAAGAGTACCTGCATGTGTCAGACATCTGTGCAAGGGGTTTTGAGTTATCCAGTTTAGTACTGTACTGTGGAACACTTCACCACCTCTTTATACAGCACCTAAGGCCCATGTTAACAAGTACAGAAACTAAAATCCAAAGAAGGTAAGGCACGTGCCCAGAGTCATACAACCAGGGAAGGGGGAGCCAGGAGTTAGACCAGGTCTTCGTGGCTCTTGTTCTCCCATCACACCACGTTTTAAAGTGAGGCAGCATGCATGGTAGTTAAGAGTACTGATTTCATCACTTTGAATCCTGGCTCTGTGACCTTGGATGAGTTGCTTAAGTTGTCTGTGCCACAGCTTTCTCGTGCAAAAAATAAAAATATTAACAGTATCTAGGTTATAAGGCTATTAAGAATCAAAGTATATATTTCACATAAATCATTTCCATCAGGAAGTATATGTAGACTCTGAACAGATTCACTTAAGGAATTTACAATCAAAAGTATGCGCCTTTGACTGACATAACAAAACCAAGTAGGCAATCCACAAATTTTCAGGGCTAACAATCTTGTAGTGCGTACTATGTGCCAAGCCTTGTTGTAAGCTCTTTTGTATGTATTAATTCACTTAATCCTCATAACATAAAGTACCGATAAACCTACCAAGCTTAAACAACTTTCTGCTGACAATTTCAACAGAATTTGATAATATCCCTTCCTTTACCTGCACTCTTCGTAGGTGAGCCACACGTTCCTCTATGGAGGTCTGCAAGGCCAAAGGGACTTTCAGAATCTCTTGGGAATTGTCCATCAGAAACGTCACCAACTTAGCAGCTAATAACTCATCCAAATCCACTTCATCCTTGGAACACAAGATGCAATGGGAAAATGTCTGAATCATCTGGAAAAAAAAAAAGTAGGGGGTATTTTTAGATAAATACCAATAATTTTTTTTTCCTACTCTGAATTGATTGCAATCTCATCTGCAAAAAGCAAGCGTGACTAGTTGGTGAGAAATGGCCCCGAGCACAGGGTGCACATCCCACCTGGCACCCGGCCACACGCTGTCATCTCTCAGTCAGCACGAGCAGAATGCGCATCTCACCTCACAGAGACGCAGCAGAGATGCTTGTCTGAAAAGCTTTAAACCCCTTTCACAGATGGTTTTCGATAAAGTTCATGTACTTTATAGCCATTTAGTCTGATAATATTCTAATTTCATTATTGATTTTTTAAAATTTACTAACAGTTTGTGTGCCTCAACCTGCTATATATTTTCCTATTTAACTGTCATTTTCTCCAGGATTTTGGATGTACTTTTGACAGTGACCCTTGAAGAAAACCCAAAGACTTTACAAGAAGTTCATTAAGTGAAGAGACTTATGGTAAACAGAAATATAAAAAATATTATAGCAGCTGCTACCACAGAATTCATATTAACTACTTCATTCTTATTGCTATCCTCTGAATGGACTTTCTTTTTCCTTTATTTTCTTGCTGACAATCTTACTTCAAAACCTATAAGCATGTAATTCTGTTTAATAAGACATCACTTCATCAACACTACAGATACTTTATATTCACTCACATTTATGTGTACAGAGATTCTTTCTGGGAGACTGCGGACCCCATGGAATCCATGAATACCTTGAAATTGTATGCAGACTTTTACACATGTATTCTTCTGGAGAATAAATGCCAACTTTTCTTCAGCTTTTCAGAAAGCTAATCCACTCACCCACCCCCTTCCCAAATAGGTCAAGAATCACTACCCATCTACTCACCCACCCCTTCCCAAAAAGGTCAAGAATCACTCCACTGGCACCGAGTGCTCCTCTGACCTCACCCCATACTTCTAAAGCTGGGCCGGTGGACCCCTAGAGGTACACGGGGGTTTACCAGGATACGGAAATAACATACGCATACCAATGATGCATCAATTTCACTCCAAGACTTTTTTTGAGAGAAATTTAGCTAATAAGCAATTCTAATCATAAACCCTATTTTAAAATACATGCTGACATTTATAAAGTAGAATTCAAAATTACCCAATTTTAAGCAAAACTGAGCATAATTTAAGAAAACCCCTCACTCATGGACCCTTGGATCACAGCCCAGGAGATGTAAGTTCTCTTTCTCCTTCCCAGTTGTCTGGTCCAACTCTATCTTTTACTTCTTCCCTCTCTGAGCCCTGTACATGGTGCATCTCTCTTCTCGATGACAGTAGCAATGGCTCTGCAACCCTTCTGACTGGAGGAGAGAGTGCCGTTTTCTTGGGAGATCACTTATCCTTTCTGTCCACCCTACCTTCTCTTTGTGTTGACAGTAGGCAGGATACAGCAGGATACAGTAGAGACTAACTCTATTCACTCTTTGCTCTTATTATGTTCTTTAAGACACTAAAACCAAAAGCACAATACTAGTCTGGGTGAATTCCAAGCCATGGCTCCTCAAGCAAGCCTGCCATGTTCCTTCCTCTGACGCCAAGCTGGTCAACTTTACTCAGGTGAATTTTATTCCAAAAACACAAATCACGTTAGATGTTAGAACTCAACCTACCAGTGTTCGGGTGCCAAGACCATCACAAAGTGGTGGCATCTCCTTATTTAAGCAAATCCTTGCCATCATCCTCATCAACAGCTGTAATTTTCTCCTATTTTCCGGTGGCAGGAGGAGGCAGCAAACCTGAAATGCTTCAATGGCCATTTTCTCTTCCTGTAACAAACCTGATTTAGAAAGGAAGTTTTTAATCTTTAAAAACCTAGAGCCTACTTGACTCTACTATGTTTAATTCATACTTTTACAAAATATATTGCTAAAAATATATACAACGTATTTACATATTCAACTATACTGGGTCAATTGATTATAGATCCACTGTCACTCACAAATCAGCACAGAAAACTAGTGTTGACAAATATATAGAACACACACTGTCATTTTCCCCTCCACACCCTGGACAGATACAATTTAATTTTCATAGCATTCTTTCCCACTGAACCAAGAGCAGTCAGGTTGAGCCTTACCTAACCCTTAACACTCATACTGTTAATAGGTCCAAGATAACATGAATGTGTCATCGCCGCCCTGAATTCTCCCCCTTGTATTATTTCCTCATGATGAACAAATCACCATCTTCCATGATTCTCACAGACTAAATAATAAAACTAATGCTCCTATGGTCAATCCACGGCCAAATGGCTCTGCTTCTTTCTAATAACACCTATCCAATAAGCCTTCCTCCCACTTAAGCTATTTTTTTCTAATTAAGGGGGCTGATTCAACTGTGCTACATGCCATCTCTTCTTACCCGGTACGATTCTGCTAGAAATTAGGGTATTCTAATATTATACACTCTTCTTCCCTATTGGTTCCTTGACACAGCCATTCCAAACCCACTAAAGAGATAAAACTGCTTTCACCGATTTACTGGTCCAGATTCATCCTTTTCAAGTTTCTAGTCTCTGACTTCAGGGCAAACCATTTTTTACATTCCACAAATATTTTCCGACCATGTATGATATGCCAGGAACTATGCTAGGTCTCGAAATTACAAACATATGCCAGGTCCCTTCCTTTCAAGAGCATACGCCCTGTGAAAAGGAGACCCAGAAAAAATAATTGACAAAATGTATATGTAAGAGATCCTGCAAGAGACATCTGCAAGGGGCATATTAAGGGAACAATAGTCACTCAGTAGGAATGTAGCATAAGATGTGAGGGTAAGGGCTCGGTATAGAAGTGAACTAAAAATGTCAGCAGAGATTGGATCTTCGAAGCCTTGAATACCAGATTAGGGAGCTTGGGTTTGATCCCAAGGGCAATGCATGTGCTTGGGAGAGAAAGGGATCAGAAGGAAGGAGCTCTAATATACCAAGTTCAGATCCTAATGTTCACCAGAAATATTTCTGCTGACTATCATTATTACCTACATAGATCTGCTTTTAATTCTATATAATCAAATCCATGAAAAGAAAAAAGGTTTATGATCATATTTTAATTCTTTCTTTCATTTATCTAATAAATATTTACTTAAGCCCTGGCTTTTCCAGAAACTGGTTTGGAAAAGATACAGTGGGGAATAAAATAAAATCCTGTCTGATCTCGTGGAGCTTCCTTCCAGCAGATAATAAGCAAAAAGATATATAAATATGATGTGAGGTGGAAACTGCCATGAAGAAAAATAAAGACGGAAAGGAGCTGGGGAATGATGGAAAACACTACTAGTGTTTCGGGAAAGGTCTTTTTCTGAGGAGGTGACATCTGAGCAGTCATCTGAAGGAATAACAGTAAGCCAGGGAAATATCAAAGAGGCAAATTTTCAAGGCAGAGGAAATATCAATGATAAGGATTTTAATGTGGGAGTATGTTTGAGTGTTTGAGGAACAGCAATAAGGCCAGTGTATAATGAATATGCAAATCAGAAGTGAGGTTAGAGAGGAAACCAAGAGACACACAGAACCTTATCGACTATCATTAATGACTTCAGGTTTTATTATAAGTGACCTGAGAAGCCACTGGAGGATTCTGGGTAATAGAAGGGTGGGGTAAAAGTAGGTTTACAGTTTTTGGTACACTGTATTATTCTTGTATTATTATTTATTAATTACTGTATTATTTTCCACACAAACTTTAAACCTACTTTTCCCCCACCCTGTATGTACATGAAATATAATAAGATATGGTGAAATCTAACTCTCTTTATAATTAGAAAAACAAAGGATCTGTAAGGTAATGTGATGGAAGGCTTCATGGAAAAAGTGGAAAGCTTTGTGGAGAAAATAAATCTAGAATTTATTTCATTCTTACCACTTCCAACTGCTACTTTGCCTGAACCTTGCATCTTCCTTCCTCCTTGTTACCCACTTACAATCTAGTCTCTATACAGCTGCCAGAGTAAAAAGTAATTCAGAAATGACAAAGGAATAAGCAGAAAAATGTTACATATTCATAGGTATCCTATGTTCACATATTTAAAAGAAATATGAACACAGTGAAAGAGAAATGTAAAATATAAAAGAGAACCAAATGGATCCTCTAGAGATGAAAAATACTAAGCCTCAAACATTCACTAGATGAGAACCATTACAGATTAAATACTGCAAAAAAAAAAAAAAATCAAGAAACTTAAATACACAGTAATATAAACTAGCCAAAATAGAAGTAGAGAGAGCAAAAAGTAGGGGGAGGGTAACAGAACTGCAGCAATATGTGAGAAAATATCAAGTGATCTAACATATATGTAATTAGAAAAGTGGAAGGAGGTACAGAAAAAATATTTGAAGAAATAATGGCTCAAAAGTTTCCAAAGTTGCCCTGGCTGGTTTGGCTCAGTGGTTAGAGCGTGGGCCTGAGGTCCAGAGAGACCCGGGTTCAGTTCCCGCTAAGGGCATGTACCTCGGTTGCAGTTTGTCCCCGGCCCCTGGTTGGTCATGCAGGTGGTGGCCACTCGATGTGTCCCTTTTACGTCGATGTTTCTCTCTCTCTCTCTCTCTTTCTCTCTCTCTCCCTCCCTCCCTCCCACTCTAGCTCAACAAAAAATAAAAAAACATCCTCAGGTAAGGATGAAAAATAAATAAATAAATAAAAAGTTTCCAAAGTTGATGACATCTATAAATGAACAGATCAAAGAAAGCCATCAAATCAAAGCACAATAAACACAAAGAAAACCACATACATGAAGGCACAGTGTAATTAAATTCCTAAAACTCATAGAAATCATGATAGAGAAAACCTCAAAAGCAGAGGGGAAAAAAAGACACATTATATACAGAGGAACAAAAATAAGGAATTACTATAGACTTTTCATCAGAAACTATTTAAAGCAGAAAACAAGGGATTGACACCTTTAAATATTGAAAGAACAAAAACTTTAAACTTAGAATTCTATATCCATTGAAAGTACCTTTCAGAAATAAGTCAAAACAAAGACTTTTCAGGGCCCCTTGCCCGCTCCTCCAAAAAGCAGAGAATTTTTTTTCCAATAGACTTATACTCTAAAAAATATTAAGGACACTTTTAAAGCAAAAGGAAAATGATACCAGATGAAAACCTGGATTTACACAAGGAATGAAGAATATCAGAAAAGATTAATATGTGGGTAGATAAAACTTGTTTTATATTTCTTTATTTATTTGAAAAAAAAATTGTTTAGCCCTGCTGGTGTGGCTCAGTGGTTGAGTGTTGACCCATGCACCAAGAGGTCTCCAGTTCAATTCCTGGTCAGGGCACATGCCCAGGTTGTGGGCCCAATGCCCCGTGGGGGACATGCAGCAAGCAACCAACTGATGTTCTTTCTCATAGATGTTTCTATCTCTCTTCCTCTCCCTTGCTCTCTCTCTAAAATCAGTAAAGAAAAAAAAATGTAGGACTAAAATGTATGAAACAATAGCAATTTAAAATAAACAAATTAAGACAACTTAGAGACCTAAACTTGCCATAAAACCTTAAAAATCTTAGAAGTACAGAATCTTTGTGACAGATTTCATGAGACACATATTAATTTGACCAAAGTAAAACACAAAAGCTCTTTACCTTGTGATTAAAATCAAAGATAAGCTCCTTCATGTTGTAAGACTGAGTAAGATAACTGAATGCCTTCTAGTCCCTGGTTACTATATATTAAGCAATTTTATCTATTCATATTGAATCATTTTGACTGTAATATAAAGAAGGAAATACTGCCCCATTTGACAGACAAGAAACCAAAGCTCAAGGTAGTTAAAACTTGACCGAGGAATTCAGCTGGTATTCATATCGATGTGCTATCCCTTCCTATACACAGTTGTGTTCTTTACTTATCCTGCCCGAAGAGAATAGCTTTTGGAAAAAACCATTAGCAACCTCCTCTTAATAAACTCTACTTGGCTTTTATTTGGTGCTAAAACTGAATAGTCAGCAATTATTAATTATCAGTGAAAACATTATACTCTCTATTTAATAGCATACTCTATATACAAAGGCATACTTTTTTGGGCTACTATGTGTGTCCTAGAAAAAAATCATTTTAATTTTGGACTGTGTTTTAAAAGTTCAACTATCAGCTACCTATCATCGTTACATTATGACAGAAGTAAAATTTTGGCAAAATCTCCAGGAACCTGAAAAAAATAAACTTTGAGGCTCTAGTAGCCATTAAGCAAGTATATATTTTATTTTTTATTGTTGAAAGCATTACAGATGTCCTCCTTTTTTCCCCAATGACCCCCTCCTTCCCTCCTCCTGCCTTCCCCAGCCTAGTGTATAAATACATATATATTTTTTTAAAGAGATTAAAACCAGAGTATAAAGCAGACATGAATTAATAGCATTTCTGAACCACATTAAGGGTATAATTTGAAATCACAGAAATATTAGTTATTAGAAAATTTACAAAACTGACAAGGAAATACTTGATAATTTTTTTAATGTTTTTGAATGTTTAAAGAGGCAACAGTGTAAAAGTTACAATCCTAGAATTCCGTCAGTGTTAGAAACACAGATGCTAAAGACAAGAAAAGAAGCTGAGTCATAAGAACATTTAGCTGTGCCCCAGTTTATCACATCATTATACATATCACATAAAAGGAGAACAGCCCAACCAGTGTGGCTTAGTGGTTGAGCGTCGACCCATGCACCAAGAGGTTGCCGGTTCGACTCCCGGTCAGTGCACATGCTCAGGTTGTGGGCCCAATCCCAAGTGGGGGGCATGCAGGAGGCAGCCAATTGATGTTCTCTTATCCATGTT